TCCACAGATTTTATCTGAAGAGCAGGACTGACTCATCTGAATGGTCTCATTCATTCAGCTGAGGTCACCTTTTGGAGTAAGGGCTGACTCCTTAAGGATATTCCTAGAAGGCCATTCATCTCTGAATACGTGTAGGTAATTTGTTTGAGAACAGTTGGAGTTACTCCTCTTACGAAGGTGAAGAATGCGCTTAATACTTTCTTCAGCTAGAAGACTTTGTATTTCTCTTGCGTGTGTGTCCTGTGAGTTTGTGTTTGGTGTTTGGTGCCTTTTATAGGTTCTGGTGGCTTTACTTATTGTTTGAAAGGGGGAAACAAAAGAGAGAAAGTTCTCTGCTTTTTTAAATGGGAAATTTTGCAAGCTCTTCTGAATGTACTTACGTCTCCATTTAGCTATCTGCAAACTTGAAAAAAAAGTGAACTTTCTACAGCAAAGGCTGTAGACGCATAGAGTGAAAAATAGAGGACTGCAAAACTGGAGATCAATATGACAAGGAATGGTTGCTTTTCTGTATTTTTGTCTTAAAATAATTCTCAATGGTTAAGTTGTCTTGCTGGTTATTTATTCCCCATCATGTCCTGTGTTGTTCTCTGTTTCTAGGCAAGATTTAACATTTTGTTTTTCTCTATAGCAAGAATGCAGTGCTGATATAAAAAACAAAAAACCTTCTGATAGAGCAAGCAGTGCAGAAGGCCCACACTGAGTACACACTGCCAGAAGTTTTTATAGTAATACTTTGTATCTAAGCTCTGGCTCTAGCCATTAAATGTGCTTTTTATAGAGTACCAAGTTATAATGTAGTGCAGCTACGGCATATTAATCTTACTGCAGAGATTTAATGAGGCAGTTGTTTTGCGATGGACACTATTGGGAGCAGAGAGCGACAGAGTTTTACTTTACCACTGAGCTGAAGAAATATTCCTTGCCTGGTAATAATTATAACCACATGATCTAAGTTTTCCTTTCTTTTGCCAGCACTTTTCCATGCAGAAGTGGCTTGGAAGGAGGTCCTACTGCAAGGCAGTGAAATGGATTGGAAAGGAGGCTGTTTTCTTGGTAGTTTGATGGTTTAGTTGTGATTAGCTATGGATCCTTGTAGCATAGGCAGGAATATGTAAGATGAGTTTCAAGAATACAGATAGTCTTTGCCAATCCACTGAGATGACTTTTAGATATTCATTACTTTTACTTGACTTTTATATGGGTTATAAAAAGTAAATGTGGTGAAACCTCATTTTTACATGGGCAGAATAGAATTTCTGCTGGTTGGCCTTAAACCGCTCCCATACTTGAAATTAATTGAAGTCCATGGCTTTATTGCCTCCAACACTTTTAAGCCAATGCAATTTTTCATTTTCCCCAAAGTTGCAGTTTTATTAGACCAAGTTACAGCAATAACATCCCTTATGAGGAGGAGGAGGAAGAAGGGAAGAAAAGAACCACCTGCCAGGGAACATAGTAATAAGAAAACATGTTTCTTTTAATTTCCATTTATAAATAATGTTAACATAATCAGTAACAGAAGACAACTGTTCTTTGTTTTCTTGGGTTCTTTTTTATTTTATTTTTTTTTTGAAGTGCCTTAGTAGTCTGAATTTATTTCTGTCCCCCAAAAGTAGCCCTCCTTTCCATACCACATAATTTTCAGTGATCTCTGCAGACAGAGCTGATGTGTGTATTGTTGCTGACGTGTATTGACAAATTTCAATTTGTGCACAGCAGCCTCTGAAATAGGGCAGGAAAGCCTCTGGAAGTGGCAGTGGCATTTACTGATGTTAGAAAAGGTAATCTTACTATGAAGACAGTCTTTGTTGAGGGAATTGTAGCTGTGATTGTTGCAGTTACTGGGGAGAAGGAAACGTGGGAGATGAACGACATTTGCTCCTGTGTGTGAGCATGAGCTTTGAACAGGAGGTTAAGGAGAAAGTATAGGTGACTGCATATTGCATTTATAAAATAAGTTTTAGTCTAGTCTTTCAAAAGAACAGCTCAAATAAGACAGTTTATCCTCAGTTTAAGTAACTGTTTAAGGTTAGACCAGCTCTTCATTGAAGACACTTGTTGTTGTAATGGAAAAGCTATCTATTCACAAAGTGTCCAAATGATATGTTCTCTCTTTAAATATATTTTTATTTTGGTGGTGACATCTCTTCATGGAAGTGGATCACAGTGGAAATGCATTCATTGAGAGGGGCTGAGACTGCCAGAACTCATTTCACAAAAGCTGTCGTAGGCTAAACTCGAACCTAGGTCCCAGAGGGTCCCACTTAAGTGTTGACCTAAAAACAAATGTGCCAGTTGGCTAGAGCATGTATTCTAAAGTTGCAGCAGAAGGGAATAAGCTTGACTGACTTCTGTCCCTGTAGAGTTTATATCTGCAAATGCAGAAGGAGAAGCAAGACCTTTATTAGTCTTAAAATTATTCTAATTTTAATAACTGGTCTCTAAGTATGAAGCTTTAAATCGAGTGATTCTTTAGGCTTTTGTGCACTAAGGAGTGCATGTGTGCTTATGTACGTGCATGTGTATTGCTGAATTCCTGTAAAGTATGTTTCTGAATAATAAGTCTTGAGAATTCCCTCCCCTCCTTTTTCTTTCCTTCAGCATTGTACTTAAAGCAGAGACAGACACTACCCTTATTTTAAAACAAACAGGTCTGTAAACTTTATGTGCAGCATTTAAATACTCATGTTAAAATTCAAACCTAGTGCCCACATTTCCCTGAGTGCTGTCAGTTTTATGAGATGAAACTGGGAGCTTGAGCTGAACAACTAATAGTATGTGATGTACACATGCTGCCTTCCAACAAGTGTTTAATGATGTTGGGGTCAGTTTCTGACAGTTAAGACAATTATTTTATTTTTTTTCTGAACTGCTTATAACCTTGTGATCTCCTAAACACTTTTATTAATCTTGCAGAATATCTTAGAAAATGAAGTGACAGTGCAAAGTAGTAGATTCAGAGCATTCAACCATGGCTAAAATGCCATAAAGTCCTTATATTTAATTAGCATCTCTTTTTGATATGTACATTTGCAGACTACTCCTCTGTTTGGAAGTAGCTGCCCAAGTGGAAGTTTTCACTCTTGAAAGAACCTTGTGAATGTAATCTGTCATGTAAGGATTGCACTCTCGTGTATAGGCAGGGCTTTTGCACAGCAAATGTATTTTTGCTTTCAGAATGTGTTTTTTATTTTTAAAAATTAATCTGGTTTCCCTCTGTAATACAATTCCCTTGAAATAAATTGTGCCCTTTACCCCTGTCAAAGAAATTCCTTGGGTTTGATCACAAGCCACATAGCATGAGGAAGATTTCCTGACATGGGTCATTTCCAGTTTCTGCTTGCGGGTCAGACTGTATATGAGCAGTTGAAGGACAGGGTGCAGCAGTGTGGACCAAAGGATGTAGAAAGATGATGAGAGCCCTGACTTCGTTGTGAGCAGCAAGAACGCCTGTGCTTTGTGCTCAGTAGCAAATACGGGAATGGCCATGCGCATGTTGCTGTAGGGTGCCGAGAGAGGATTTAAGAGTGTTTGAAAGTGGGATCACCTTACTGCTCCTCCTCCTCCCTTCCCCATTCTAATATGAATTTAGTTATAGCTTATTTCCATTTTTCTCCTTTTTGTGCATGATCCTAATCAATTGGAATGTTAAATAAACTGGGCTCACAGATACCACCTTGTGCTGTGGACAAGAAGCCGACTTCTGGTTAGTTACCCGCTTGGCTAAAGAGCGCAACATCTTAAAATGTACTTGCACAATCTCCTGTTATTATGTGAGCTTGTTTTCTAAAATGACTTGTTTCAGTCTCAGCTCTCTCAAATATCTGAAAGAAAAGATGAGGTGGCCAAAGCAGAAAAGGGAGAAGTGGTGAAACACTTGCATTCCTTTTGCTGGAATGTACACAACCATTTTTCTTCTGTGTTTCACTTGTTGTACTGTGGTTCCCAAGGAAAAACAAAGTTAAGTGCCAGCTTGCTTTATTAGGGAAGACAGATTGTTTTATTTCTGTCTTTTGAAGGAAGCTTTTAGTAAAGTGGGCAAAAAGTCAGGAGAAGTTAAAGGAGGAGTCCACTCCTCAGAGGAGGAGGAAAAGTTCTAGACTTAGCATTATTTCACTCTGCACTGGTCATCTGCAAAACCAAGGTAGTGCAGCAAGCTGTGTGGCTTCTCTGTGCACAGCGGATGGTGGTGAGCCCGTGCATGTCTTCCAGTGTACAAGCTTCAACTAGACTCAGGGCTGCTGCTCTGAGGCTAGAGCTATCCTGTGAACCCCAAAATGCTTGTTAACAGGTCAAGCAGACAAAGCCCTCCTTGTGTACTATTTAGGTTTTACAGTAGTTAGTTTCCAGTTTTCTGTCATCTGGCAAATACAGGAACTTTATTGGGTTTGTCTTAAGTCATACACAGATTCAAAGTGTGTGTACCATTTTGACCCATGGTATAATCTTTCCAGGGCTTTGTTTGTGTCAAATAGTGTGTGATGGAGTATTGGAGTCGGTTGTAAAATCAAGATTAATTTCATGTGTATGTAAATCAAATTTGTTAGTCTCTTAGTTCTGGTAATTTCCTGTGAAACACTGTAGTTAACAGTGAAAAGAAGTTCCTGCACACTCATTGATTTGATTTTTTTCTTTTCATTGAAAACTAATTGCATAGGTGGTTTATCCTTTCTTACAGTGATCAAAGCAGCTTCTATAGCTGTGATAAAATTGACAAACCTAACATTGAAGCATGGAAGAATTGCTTGAGCGAGAAAGAGAGCTGCATTTGTGGGTGTAGAAGGGAAGTTCTCCTTTCATCAAGATTAGAAAAAAAATTAGAGAAAGGAAAAAAAAAGAAAAGTCTCTTTTGCTTATTTAGCAATAAAATCTACAGTGTTCTGCAGGGTTGTGCCAGATATGCTTCTTCTCATTACCACAAGAACCTATCTTGATTTTTTCTTTTCTTTTTAAAGGTTCTCTTCTTAGATGCCTGACGTCACGGTCTTGATTTTCTTTCAGACCCTAACTGTAAACTAGAAGACAAGGCAGAAGATGAAGTGCTAGACTGTAAGAAAAGGCCGGATGAAGGGGAGGAGTTAGAAGAAGAAGCTGTGCACAGCTGTGACAGCTGCCTCCAGGTGTTTGAGTCACTGAGTGATATCACAGAACACAAGATTAATCAATGTCAACTGACAGGTAAACAATACTTATCACTTTGTGGCTTTGTGCACTGTTCTGTTTGTGATTCCCATCTCCTCTGCTTCTGATCTCCCTCCTCCTTTTCAGTTATTTTATTTGTGCACTTGGATGCTTGGGTGAGACCTTTACAAACAGATTCTGGGACAGGATTATTCTATAAATGGGGCACTGTAAATTTCCTTCCTACTGAAGGATATATGGATAATTACTGCATTGTCACTGTATTTAAAGTGTTCATTAGCTGTTGGTGCCTAACTGCTGTGTGCATTTTCTATATTCATGCTGTACAGCTTTCCATACTTTGCTTATATATGTATTTTCCTAGGTCACTTGTGAACATAGAGGGTATTTGTAAGTTGAGTTTAAGTGCAGCTGCATAATGAATGGATTTTCATGTTACACATCTGGGCTGGATCTTGTGTTAGTCTAATCCATTACTACAAATGACTGTACAGTAATCAGTAACTGAAGGTTGAGAGGAATTAAGCAAACTGTTAGAGTGGAAAATAAAATCTCAGCTTCAGTCAAGAGGTGGAACTCAGTGCTGCTTAGATACTACTGAATTGAGAAGAGCTGCATGAATGGACCTGTAGCCAGCCCAGGTTCCTCCGAAATGATTGTAGACAGTCCCCCCTCTCTGAGGACACCACATGAAATCAGCTGAAGTAGTTTTGCTCTTTAGATTTGTAGGTCTTCTAATAGTAGGCATTCTAGGTCCAAACAGACTCAGTATCAACGGAAAGGTGTTTTTATTCTTTGTTAAGTGTTGCTTTAGTTTTAGTACTTACAGTGGAAAATGTATTTATTGTGCCATGCAGTTGTGTTTAAAAACCTTTCCTTATTATAAGTTTGTAAACAAGGAAAGCCATCCTTCCCATTTGGGAATGTTTTTAGAAAGTGCGTGTGGTCATGTTTGAAGAGCTTTCTGAGTTATTTTTGGTTCCAGTAGATCCATAGGCTACGTCCTGGCAGGATGACATAAAAGTCAAGTAGCAGTGCTGCTCTTATGGACAAATCATGAAGAGAAGGTGAACAGAAAAAGAGTAAGTGGGCAGGAGCAGTAGGAAAGTTGAGAAAGTAATGTGAATTTGTCAAATGGCTTTAGTCCCAACTTCAAATTATGGAAGATGAGGATCTGCTGCAGCAAGAAATGTTCATGTTTATTAATATGTTGCTTTGCCTTTTCTTGCATATAAAATGTTTTTCAAACTTCAGATACAGTCAGTTCTGCTATTCCCTAATCACTCCTACAAACTTCTAGAATGTATTTGTCTATATTGCTCATGTTTTCTGGCAATATGGATATTCACTCTTGACTTTAAAAAACTTAATATTTTTCTCTCCTTTTTTTCATACTTCTCTTCTTTGTTTTGGTCTTTCTGTGTTGAAAAATTAGTTGCTTTAGCTTGTCTCTTCCTTCCCTCTACCAGAAAGCATTCCGCCTGCCCCAGTCCTCTGGATCTCCCCTTCACTGCTTTAGATCCCATTTATTCATCCCTGGTTTTTTCACCTTGATCTTATATGGCTCTTTCTCCTTTCTGATTAGTTAGTTGCTGCCCCCACCTTCTGTGCCAGGTTGTTTCTCTGCTTTAAAGCTGCAAGCAGAATGAACTGAAGAGTGCTTGCACAGTTGGGTTAAGAAACTGAAGAAAAGCAGGTGGGGGAAGCAGTAAGTAGGAGGAGTCCTGCAGCACTGCTTCTGAACACAGCAGTTCTTACTGAGAGTTGTGTTGTTCAATGAGAGTGGAAACAAATATACTGGATTAGTCAATTTGGGGTGCATGTGTAAAGACAGGAATACATGTATGATGTCAGAGGATGGAGGGATGAAAATAAATCTTGAAGGAAATTCTTTAACTCTCCTGAAAATACCTTTGCCTCTCTTTCAAGGAAACTTCAGACTGTTTGAAAGCTAATGAAGTGAATGAAAACCTAAACCGCACATCCTTCCAGACTACCAAGTTGACAAAAAGCCAACTGTCCTCTGTTTATAAATATAAATGACCAAAATACACCCTTACATTGAGAGAGGGATCTGGATGAAATGATCAGAGTTGAGGATTTCTTCTTTCTCCAGCAAAAAATACTGAAGGAGTGGTTAGAGAGGTGAATTCAATGCATGTGTGGCCTAAAACTAAGGACACAACATTTAAGAAAACATCATTGCTTTGCATTATTTTTAGTTACTGAGTGATGAACAGTTGACAGACAAGCAGCTTACCTTTCTCTTCTGAAGCACAATACATATTCATCAAAAATAAGGTTTCCCATTGACATTTTAGACAAGTTCCATGGACTTGCCTTTCTCTTGGACTTCCACCAGTACCTGTGGGTGCTATACTCAGATTCAAAGCCTTCAAAAAAAGCATGACCATGGAGGTGTGGTTGCACCTCCCTTTCTCATCACAGTCTTCTGATGCAGAAGAGTGTTATGTAATAGCTTTGCTTGCTCTTGGAGGAGTCCCAGTGAAACCAGTAGGCACCCTAAGGTATTTGTCTGTCAGTAAGTTGTTAGACAGGCAAAGGTTTACCAAAATAGAATCTTCTTTACTATATTCTGTGGTTTGGGTCAACTGTGTTCTCTCTGGAGAAGGGCAGAGTGTATCGTCTGTCCTGATGTATGAGCTTTCCAATCTGGGCCTCATCCCAGGTACTGAAGAATTACCTAACTTACTCATTATGTAAAAACACCAGAGCTGTCAGCCTCTGAAGTTCACATTTGAGTTCTGAAGGCCTTCAAACCCTGCTATTTCAGGTGGCTGAGCCAGCTGCAGCTTGTCTGAATTTTACTGGGTAAAATTTACTGATTTTACTCCAAAGAGGTGCTCTGTGCAATGCACAGGAAGCTGCATTGCAAGAATTTATGTACTGTGCATGTTGACCCAGTCGTAGGGTCATTTTCATTGTTGATTTTACCCAGTGTAACTGGGTTATGAAAATGAAGTATTGACAGGATGGCAAAATAATGGCTTAAAACAATCCTTTAGAAAAACCCTGAATATGGAACATGAGAGTTGAGTGTCATAGTATCCTTACTGCCTCTAATTCTACCAACCTTGTAAGATGCTTAAGAATAGGACTGGGCACTGTAGGTTCTCAAATTGATACTGGGGCTTCTAGTTTTTGCATTTGAAAATGTTAGATGTGTTCTTCTGAAGCTTTGACGCTTCAGTGGAAGGAGTAAAACTGGTTTATTGAATCTTCATTCTGCACTCTTAACCAAAGAAAGGAATGGGGAGAAAGGTGCTGGTTTATTAAACAGTGGTCCCAATCTTTCAAAGTGTGAGTCACCTCCTATTCAGAGGGTAGTGGAAGAGGAGAGTTAGTTATAAGTCTGTGAGATTTAGCTCTCAGGATCTTGAATTGCTGTTCTCTTGCAGAATTCTTCAGAGAAGAAAAAAAGTTCTCCCCAACTGGTTCCTTCCTGTAATCTGTTGTTTGACTTGAACTCATGTTCTTTCTCTAGAGGAGGACATAGCAGCTCTTTCATCCTAATGTGCGTGCTATTGATCTTTTCAATTTGGGTCTGATCCAATATCCATTGAAGTCAATGAAAAGATTCCCATTGACTTCAATGGGGAATGGAACGGGCCTTTCATGAACTATTTGGTAATATTTTTTGCTATCATTTGAAATTCTTGTACTGAAGGTTTCTCTGAAAAGGTGATGATTTATTTATGTTAATTGCTGACAATTCCTGTGATGTTTGTGGAATACAGATAATGGATGAATGGGGAAAAAGTAAAAAAAAAACCTGTCTTTGCAATACTTGTAATCATGGGTAGATAAGATGCCGAACTATATTACTTTAGTCATTCCAAAAGATTGGCAACAAAAATATGGATTTAATAGTGTTTCTCTGTGATGTTAATACTTTTTTCACTGTATCCTTCCTGCAGCATATCCATTTAATACTCATGAGCCACTTGCACATTGTCATCCTCTAAGTTGTGTATATAAGTAAAGGATGCAATTAGCATGACTATGAACCTTCTAGTCCTTCTAGTATGCATCAGTTTGGATCTCACTGTAGAAACACGCATGCAGGTTCAAATGTGGTGCACTACCAATAACCTTCCCAGTCATTAGAGTACAGTCCTGTTTCTCAGGGATTGTACTCTATGAAGTCTCCCCTGTACACATGAGAACTGCCCGTCTGCTGGGTGACTGTTCAGAGGCATTCAGCTGAAGCTTGGTTCTTTTGAAGATCCTGTAGGTCGCCTTGACATCAGAAGTCTCAGCCATGACCAAAGTAATACTAGAAAAAAAGAGCATCCTATGGTGCTGCCTTGCTTGCAGTCAAACATGCAGTGAAGATGCCAGCCTAGTTGGCTGAGTTGTTGAATAACTCGACAGCAATGAACATGTTGGTACACAAGACTGCCATTTTCCACCTGAATGTGAGTAGACCTGGTGTGTGTTACAGGACTTCCCTACTAGCCCCATTGGCGTCACAAGCTGTAGAACTTGTCTGAAAGAAGGCTTACTGAATCATAATACCTTCAAGGCTAAGGGTGTTCTGAGGTAAAAGGCATGAGATATTTCTCCACTGGGGATTTTTGTTTTACCTTTAGGTGATTAGGTGGACTTAGTTTTATGCTTTGGGCTCTAGCTCAGTGCTAGAGCTTTCACAGGTTGAGTAAATATGTCTGGTAGAGCTGACAGACATTAATGTTATCCGCTAAGTTGTTTCTGATGTTGAAAAGGTTATTGGCTATAGCTGTGTGTCCCCTGCCAACGAGAAGATGCAATCTTGCTCTCTCTCTCTCTCTTTCACCTCACAGATTACTCTCACAAGCCATATGAAAATAGTTCCAGCAGATATAGTAGGGACCAATTGCTCTGAGTGCTGCTTTCCATCAGCACTGGAGTATCGCTGGGCTGGGAACTTCTAACGAAGTCAGTACTTCTGTGTTTCCAATCATGACCAAAATTAATTTTCATAGCTACCATCCTTCTGTGTGGTTGAGAAACACCTTCTTGCATGTCTAGAAATA